CCTGATAAATTTAAATTAAGGAGTGCCCTTTTGGCCTCTTTCCAATGAACTGAGAAAATCCTATTTATATGGCAATTACTCAAAAGTACGCTACTGTCTGCAATGTAATCACTAATTTTTCGCTTGAAGATTATCTAAACTGTTATGATAGGCTATTGTGCTGTATATATTATATAACGCGTATTATAAAAGTAACAGAATGTAAATCAACGATGTAGCTGCTGTTAGTAATTTAATTTAATTTCTAATAATCAGCTACTGTTGAATAAGTACAGGCATTAAAATATCGAGTATTTTAATACCATACCTCGTCATCTCAATGATCCTCCTTCACTTGAGAGTTGTATATTATTTTCATGGCAAACGAAGATAGGGTTATTATTTTTATCGCTGACTCCATTTTCTAATGCCAAAGATTGATTGTAATTATTTGCTGGTAGCGGAATCATTAACAAACGCGCATATTAAACCCCAAATATTGGAATAAATAGCGGGAGTGTAAATATTTGCTAATAAAAATGATCATCAAAACATTTCGGAAGACACATCCAATCTACTATCTAATTTAAAGTCTACTAGATGTTTCCTTACGTTAAAATAACTCAAATTCTAAGCAATCAACTAAATTTTTCCTAACAAGAACTAAATATACCTTCATGAATTGATGTGTCACCACTGTTAGAATAATTAACTGATTCTTGATTGGCGCTAGTAATCGAGATGTTGCTGCGTCTTCGTGGGAAGCGATGCCGATATTTTCTACGATGTATTGACTTGCTTGTAGGATAGATCTTATTTTTTGACGTTTTGATGATAGCGCAAGTTATGAACAGCATAAAAATAAGTCCGCCAATACACCCGGCAATGATACCACCAGTTCTTGCTGAGTCTAATATGAATATGGATAATATCCGTCTATAGATACTACTACATTTACTTAAAAAAGTGATAAGCAAAGTATAGTTTACATAAATTGCGCTATCTAGAATACGACATAGAATTACCGGGAACAAGCTCGGCATTGTTAATGGAAATCTTTGAAAGCATAAATATACTATTTTCAGAAGAGCGAAAAGAAGTTGTTGCTAGACCGACTACTTCCACCTGTAAAGTGCAATTAGTGATTTGTAAAGCTGATTTCTGATCCCGATAAATTTTGTTTTAATATTTAAATTAGCAAAGTACATTGGAAAAGTATTACAAATACGATAAATATTGCTCTGAAAATAGACTATTTGAAAAACTAATAGAATGACTTTTATTATGACATCAGCCATAGCTGCACGAATTTGAAACTTACATAAAAATCTTCTTGCGCGAAAAAGTTATGAGATTGCCAGTTAATAGTTTTGTTCAATTCTAGATTAATAATCAGCATATCTAAGCACATGATTCTCTGCTGAATATAATTGGCGATATCGTACGATGATGCGATCGATGAGAACATTTTGTACTTGGAATGATATTTGAACCTAAATTTGAAATATATTGTTTTATAATAGGCCAAGAATCGATTAGGATTTAATTCTATAGAATGTCCTAATATGTATTAACAGTATAGGTCATCATTGGTGAAAAATAATTTAATTTCTAAAGGTGGCCATGACGAAACACAAGCTCTTACAAATGGAGGTTTTTTCATATCATGCTTTAAAACAGGACTTCTTAGTATAGCTTCTAGCGGCTTCGTAAATTTCGGAGGTCTGATGACATAAATTAGGCTACCAACTACAGTGTACCAAATATTAAATTACGACAAAGATAATCAGTTGTTAACGTTAAATTAAAGGTAAAGGTTAGATAGTGAATCAATTTCAATCAAGATATGTTCGATCTGTGATCTTAACAGATCGGCTGCAATTGTTAAGCTTTCAAATGCAACGGCAAGAGCTATATATACGGTAAGTTATTTCTTAAATTTTGCTTAGCAAAAAATTTATTTTTCCGTAATGTTATGCTTATAATACCGATATTTCTGTCCACAGATGAAGGGATATAATGATTTCCAGTGCTTGGTAACCAAAGCCATGACCAATTTCCCATAGGTGTCCACTTACAGAAACCGTCACAAAATATGCAACGTGTAGCTGTATCACTGCATTCTAAAATTTGTTTTAAATGGATTAATAAGACAAGGTTAGATATCTTTTATGCAACATATGGTGCACATTCTGATCTTACACATCTCCGTTGGCTATTATATTATTAAATGTTATTTGTGGTTTTTATGAATCTGCTTATCATTATCAATGTACAGTTACGAAAGAATGGTAGCTAAGGTAGTAAGTATTGCCTGAATTGAACTTAATATTTGAGTTTTATATTGATCATCAGAATAAAGTGTTCAGTAATTAATCTATGCGGTACTCTATAATTTTACAACATTAACTGTTCGTTGATGAAGTGTAGAAGACAAGCTGGGAGTTAATTTTAGTTTTTTTTACTTTTTTAAACTATTTACCTGTTGCAGAAACTTCGTTTCCAGCTCTAATACATCGTAATGTTGCTATACTGCTTTTCGAACATGTTGGCCCATTCATGGTGATATTGAATGAGCATTGACTGAGTGAAGTTTCATAACCGTAGCAATGTAGATTGCTAATGTAAGAATTTGGTACCACATAGTTCATTAAGGTTACTAAAAGATGATAATTATAAAAGGATCTGATTAATCGCTAAGATATTTTTCCTTCACGTTAGGAGAATATTGATAGTTTATAAGAATGCAATTATGTGACAACTCATAGTTGCAAAAATTGTAGTACACCTTTACCTGAGGAAGATGAAGCAGCCAAGTAACCAAGTTGACGACAAACTACATCAGCTGCAAAATTATTCCATCCGACGGCACAAATAACTCCATTCCTACCATTTATTTTAATATTGACATAGCCTTCTTCTGGTTTACTACCACCTCTCATAGAAACTGTGAGATGGGTTTGCGGAGTGCCGACGATAGGATCTTAATAAAATTCAATAAAAATACGACGAAGTATATCACGTTAAAACGATATCGCTTTTTTCTATCCCTAGCTGCTTTACTATTTGAAAATGCCGCACAAATGCAAATCGATCAATTTTACGTTCCATAATATATTGTACTACAGATGTTAATAAATAATCAGTGCGGTTGTCTATAATTAACTCAAATTTTAGCATGATATCCTACCCATAAGTGAAGGCCGTGAACAAGTTATCCATAAATCTTCCGAATGAGTACATTCATTCTTGCCCCATGATAGAATGTGGCATTGGCCAAGATTACTTGCTTTTGGATTGCAATTGAAATACCGTGTAGATGTCCATATTTGTCCTCGTCCTGGATTATCAGACACTAAAGCGCAATTATTCAATAAAATAAATGCTCATTAAAGTGTGTTTCGTTGATCGATTTTAAAAGTAACAAGTGCAAATCCAACATATACAGAAATGGTATTAGTTTAGATGCTCATGCCAGTAACAGTGGCTATCATAAACTGATCGCAATGATTAAAATTATGAAAAAAGAATAATTTGTATGCCAAATATTCTTAAAATAATCAAATGGCCTCTAATTTATCACAATATACTAAATAATGATCTAGACCTAAATTCTATGGCACTGTGCATTTTCAAATGTTATTATAAGCAATAAGTGTACCCCTAGCTCCTAAGACTGCTTCGTTGTACTGATGGAATTAACATATTAGCAAGAGACCAATAAATAGACGATGCTATTAAGTTTTATTATAGTATTATATTACTAACTTGCAACCGTGCCAAATTCGCTTTCATTAGCTTGACGGCAAATTACAGAAGCCACTAATGATGTTTTATTATTTAAGCATATTGTTCCCCATTGTTCGCGATGATAAATTGCAACTCGGCCAGAATTTAAGACTGAATAATATTTGCGAGCGATCATAATTGGATAAATACCTGTTTCATGAACAATAAGAATAGCAAGTATTGAACCATCAAGCTTTTATTGCAATGATTCTTACGCTATCAAATACTTAGATCTACAAGTTCAGGTTCATAAAGCATTATGTCAAGAGTATTTGAGCAAGCAATGACTGAGCTTTAGTGCGGCTTGTTAGCTTACTGCCTAACGGGTAAGGTGGAGTATTGACTTTAGGGCGTTTGCAAGCCGTAATATTGCATGATTGCCAACTTAGATTGGATAAGGTGGTATAGCACCATGGAGCACTACGAAGGCCTCCAGGATTTCGACAATAATTAGAAGATAAATCATCATCAGTATATAACGACGAATTATAAGGGTGCGAGTGAGGATTCTGTGAATTCCAAGATTGGCAAGAGTAGCCCTGCTTGGTAATAGATGTCTTTCCGCGATAACCTTGTCCTCGATCACTGTAGCAATCAGTTTCTAAGGAAAATAATGATATAGATCAATTAATGCAGTTGCTTGAATAATTTGATATTCTTATGTCCCTATCTTGTCTTGTTTAATCATAAATTGACTTTATTTAATTTACTTTTACGTTGTGCTGACTTACCGATTGGATAAACAGAGACATCATCGATGAAAATGTTGCTGTTATATAGGTTAATTGCAATTCCGCGTAGCAGGATCTAAGACATTTCATTAATGATTAATAGATTGGTAATTTTTAAGTTATTATCATGATTACGTTTCACTAGTAGCTATTACTCTAGATTTTATCTTGCAGACATAGCTAAACATTTAAGTCTATAGATTTAAAGATTTGCTGTAACGCTGTCATTTTGTATTTATTGCGATAAACATCATTTCAATTA